GAGAGAGAGAGAGAGAGAGAGAGAGAGAGAGAGAGAGAGAGAGAGAGAGAGAGAGAGAGAGAGCTTATGACTGTTTATAGGTTTGTTTGGTTTCTTTTGAAGAGGTAAAGGTAGTATTTAGTATGACTGCGGTGGTTTGGTGATTGGCAAGACTGAAAAAATGGCACCAATGAATTTATCACTGGGGAAGATTATGATAGGGATGATTGCGGTGATGCTGGGTGTTTCAATATTCCATCTGTGTTTGCACTTGCATCAGTATGTTGCCGTGTCGCATCAGGAGATTAACTATGTACGCTTTACGGATAAGCCAGTTGCAGTGTATGAGGCCAAGTCATCACTTGTGTATAAGGAGGATCAGCAGCTTCGTGAGGTGGCAGTGGATTGGGGTCGTATTAGTCATAGCAACCTTCCTGAAGTGTTAGTGTACGTAAGCCAGCGCTTAGGACACCTGGCGCCATACCTAGAGGATCACGTAGCCGTGTTCAAACGCTTACGAGAGAAAGTGGAGGCTGCAGTGTTGACATTCAGAGGGCTGAGAGGGAGCGGCGATGGGCGCACATTGTGGACGCTGCAAATGGCAGACAACCTTCGGCTTGCCGAGGGGGTGCAGAACAGTCTAGAAATAATGAGGGCCAAGCTGCAGAGAATGTTGGAGGATTGCATGGCTATCAAGGAGATCTTGGGATCAAATAGTGAACATGGTAAGGGGGTGCTGAAGAACCGCTCACCTCCCGCTGACACTGGGGATCGCGCCTCCCAATCCGGCGGATCGTCATCGTCAGGCCAGTTGGTGGCAGGGATGCAGTCCGACGTGCAGTGTCCAGTGCTACATGCTGTTGAGCCAAACCAGTCTTTGGATGGCATCATGGGTAGCTCCGAAGATGCCGATGACAATGCGCTCATACAGGCGTTGATCACATCCTGGCAGCACATGTATCTCTCCCCCAATATCTCTTCTGTTCCTAATGGGCTGGTTATTGAGGGTCGCAAAGAACAAGACACTACTACTCATGCCGCTGGTGATGGCAGTTCGCTGCAAATAGGTAGGAGTTTGTCCACAGCTATCGAGTTGGATGTACAGCAGAAGCGGAGACTAGAGGAGTTGCTGCTGGTCATCCCCCCCCATCTGGCGGATTGCAAAAAGGATTCAGTTCGCAACTCGGCACTCGAGCGACGGGGTGCTGGTGGCACTCTTCCTTGCTGGGCACTAGATAATCCAAGTGCGCAGTCGTCCACAGTTGGAGGAGAAGCAGGCGCAGAGTATTGCCTTCCAACTGAGCGACTGGAACAGGGAGCATCCCCTCCATGGATCAAGGGTGCCGATTCTGACAATCTTCCTCTGACACGTGTTGTGCAGCGGGATCTGTGGGATCTGCAGCACCCTGCAGACTGCGAAGCTCCTGGCCTCCGGTTTGCTGTTGCTGAGTGGTGGGACCTGGATGGGCATGGCATTGGCTCTCAGCTGCATGGAATCACTACCCCTTTTGCGGTAGCGGTGCAAAGCGGTCGGATCTTTGTCCCTGCAGACAATTACATCCGCGCGGATCAAGACAATTGTTTGGGAGAATCGAGGCGACGTCTCGAATGCTATTTCGCACCGACCACTTCGCAAGCTTGTTTTGCCCGCGCCATGAAGTTGCTGCAGACCGCAAGGACAGAGGGTGCGCCTTACACTTCAAACAGAAAAAAAAAGATATTGCGTATGATGAATGACAAGAACGTGCCTGTGGTGCTCATAGCCAAATCCACACTCTCACTTTTCAAGGGGTTTGTACCCACAAGGTGGGCAAATCCGTGGAATCGGATGCGCCCAACAATTGTAATGGAGGGAAAATTGGTTGACGAGGGACGAATGGCGCGTATAACATGGTGGCGAGCGCAAGCAATGCGCTACCTGCTGCGCTGGCCAAGTGACCATCTCTGCTACGTAACCAATCGAGAGAGAAACGCGGTTTTCGGAGAGATCGTTGCTCGCGAAATGGTTGCGTCATTGCGAAGAATGAACAACAAGTCGCTGTATGCAGTGACATCTCGACCAAGGGGAGTTGGAAAGGAAGATTGGATGAAGCTGGAGGACGAACGGTTGAGACATCAGGAGGCGGAAACAGCTTCCTGTATCGTTGGAAATAATTCTCAATCCGGACTTGAACTCTTCCTTCCAAGACCTATCATCAGTTTGCACGTTCGGTTGGGCAGGGACAAACGAACGGAGATGGACCTCTTTCGACTGCCAGCATACATGCGCATTGCGGAAGCAATAAGACGGCAGATGGACCCCGGTTTACGGCATGTGTGGCTTAGCACAGACGTCATCTCGGTTGTCAATCAGTCATCGGACTTTGCAGGGTGGCGGTTCTTCTATACTGAGCAGCAACGGATCGCGGAGAACCAAAAGGACTGGGCCTTGGAGATGAAAGGAGGAAGCTCATATCATGTGCCAGGTGCGGTCCCTTGTTTCGACCTCGTCGAGAAGTCGTTTGCCAACCTGTTGATATCTCAAGAAGCAGACTATTTCGTCGGAGCGTTGGGATCCAATTGGTGCCGCCTGATTGACGAAATGCGGCGAACCAATGGCCGACTGCATAAGAAGTATGTGACGATGACTTATAACCCATGGTAAATTTTGTTCCCCCCCCCTCCCCCCCCCAAAAAAAAGAACATGGTTCATTTTGTTGATGGAATTCGACTCACCGTTCTGAGAGATGAGGTAGATGTCAAAGATCGGCCGTGCTGGCCTTGGCCTCTTTTGCAGGCTCTCCATTATTGTGACAAGAAGACGCCGCAGTGATCATTCTCACCGTGCTGCTTTCATGTATATGGAAACGGCGAAACACTCTCTTGGGCAGTGCGTTTTGGGGGCTACGGCTGGGGTGTGCAGAATCCTTCGCTTCGAAGAGAGGACTCGGACTCCTAACCTATGGTTCAGTAGCTCTCTCTCTCTCTCTCTCTCTCTCTCTCTCTCTCTCTCTCTCTCTCTCTCTCTCTCTC